GTGAGTAACACTATGAAACACCATATATTTCTCCCAGGATCTGTCCGATGTGTCAGGAGTACACACACACACACACACACACACACACACACACACACACACACACACACACACACACACACACACACACACACACACACACACACACACACACACACACACACACACACACGACTCCTCGTGTGCTGCACATCCTTACATTCCACCTGCCCATATACTCACATCGGGGAAAAGGTGGTGGCATTATTGACGCTGTTTCCATCGTCCGGGTACAGCTGCTGCTGCTGCTGTTCCTGCTTCTGCGGGTGTCTGCAGCTATTTGCCACACTAACTGATCTGGATATGTCCCGATGGTCTCCACTGAGCCTCTATGCAGTCCACCGTCTACAACCCAACACTTCAGAATTTAAGTTGATATTATTGTAACAGCTATAATATAGAATCCCGCCCTGATATACAGAAAATTCTGTATTCATTTATAATTACTAATGGCGGTAATTAACCAGGAAACACAATAAATATTTTGGAGTTCCGTCTGATGCTAAATATATCGAAGGCTTACAATTATAGTACGACATTGCTAACAGGTCAGCTTTAAAAAGGACAACTCTGCTCTATCTAGAACCGCATATATTACTAGATTCTCTGAACTTGATAAACATCAGTGTTACTGTTTGCTGTGGTCTTAAGGCCGCTCCTAACTCAATAATCTTCATTCAGCAAATGGTAAAGCAAATGATGGAGTCCCACCTTTCACCATTCTATCGATTTACCTTCAGGTGTTCACTTATTAAATATCTCTTAAGATCGTAGTATTGTGTTGTTGTTGTTATTGCTGTTATTATTATTATTGTTATTGTGGGAGAGCGCTAAACTCGTGGGGGTTATAGAGCGCTTGGAGGGGTTGGGAGGTTGATGGAAGGCAATCAGGCTTAATTCAGGGAATTAGAGTACAGATCCAGTTCTCTAGATCAAGAGCCACTGACCAGCATCAATGAACCCCCTTGAGGGGGGTTGTTGATGTCTCTTGCAAATATAACCTTCCTTATCTAAACGCTGTACTTACGGTGTTATTCTGTTTTATTGTTTGTACTTTCCTATGAATATATATTCTCTTTTTAATACAAAATAAACAATAATCTGATGATTAACCGAACTTCGTTTGGAACAATATTATTAACATTTTAACATGCATCATATTAAAGCCCACAACCACTAGAGTATATATTTCTGACTCACAAAACCTATGAATCACACCCACACAACATCACAACACACGCAACACTGTACACCATAGATTCACAGTATCACTAACCCGCATCACTATAGAAGTATATAAACAGAAGATAAAATTAAGCCAATTAACACACCATAGGTAAAAATTTAGAGAGATTTATACCAGATCACTTCAATAAAAAAGCTAGATGCAGACCACGTACTAGAAAACATTACCTACAATACCTGTTGTGTTACCTACGTTATACCACTAGTAAACAACAACAGTACTTCATATTAACAGCGCCAGGTTACCATATGTAACCACAACACAACACTGGCATTTTACTAGCTAACACAACGCAATACAGGTATGCCAACCTACCTGGCCATGACACTATACAACAAAAGATTTCAACAACACTTGACTACAACCTAACACAGCTTGCCAGCACACCTTACCACAAAGCAACACATCATGTTGATATCATACCTCGCCACAAGACAACACGTAATGCCTGCACACCTAGGCACAACACAATTTAACATAGTGCAGACAACGCCAACACACCAAACCACAACACAGCTCAACACAGGCAAGCCAGCACACATCACCACTACGAAACACAATACAAGACAAAGCATCGTAGAATAACATAAGACAGTGCAGGCAAGCCAGCACAAGTCAACAAAATACAACACAATACAATACGACAGAACAACACATAATGCAAGACAACACCAAAAAACGCAACATCTCAAAACACAACACTTGCAAGCCAACAGTACTACCACAACAAAACACAACACAACACTGACAAGCCAGCCCAACTCACCACGACGTAATACAAAGCAACACAGCACCAGCAAGACATCACAGCTCAACGTAGCACAAAACACTGGAAGACAAAACAACGCCTCACCACAACGCAACACAATATAAAATAACTTTAGCATGCCAGTACACCTCACAACAACACAACACAACTCCGGCAAGTCAGTACACTTCGCCACAACACAGCACATGCTAGCCAGCACACCTCTTCACAACCGAACACAAGCACACTTCAGCTTAATACAATACAACACACGCAAGCCAGCACAACACAAGACAGGAAAACCAGGACACCTGACAACAACACAACATAAGCAAGTCAGCGCACATCAACACAACAACAGAGCACAAGTAAGACAGCCCATCTCATCACAGCGCAACATTACACAGGCACGATCCACGAAATCGTAATGACACGATTCCAAACAAACCATACCACGGGCGGGTTTAAACCCGCAGGTTCTAACGCCGCCCGTGGTATGGTTTGTTTTATTACACAGGCACACCTCACCGCAACACAACACTTGCAAGCATCACAACAGAACACAGGGAAACCAGGACACATTATGGAGAGACAAGAGAGCACAAGTAAACCATGACACCTCATGGCAATACAATAAAACACAAGCAAACGAGCACACCTCATAACAACACAACAGAACACAAGCAAACCAGGACATATCATGGCAACACAACAGAACATAGGCAAACCAGCACACCTTATGAAAACACAACACAGACAAGCCATACCCAAGCCATACTCACAAGAAAATTCTAGCATGGCAACACACCAGTAATATCGACTAGGGAGCAATTTAAACTAATGTGAAGATAATCAAGAGACGACTAATGGAGTATCTCGGAAAGAAGTTGAATCATGGATAACAACCAGGCAAAGGTCTAAAGACGGTGAATCTTCTCCTTCCTCTTATGTATTCTCTAGTGGTTTTGTAGAGAATATCTAAGAGGAAGGTGAGAAGCAGTGGTTGTCAGAAAAGGAAAATGTGAAAGAGGGGTTTCACAGGGGTCTGCTCTGGGTCCAGTACTGTTCCTGGTATATGTAAACTACATGCAGGAAAATGTTTGCGGATGCATCCCATTTGGAGATGGCGCTATTATGTGGAAAATGAAAAACGGAGATAAAGGATGTACTTCAATTAGACTCAAGGAACCACAGTATTGGATAGATAATTTGCTAAAACAATTCAGCCTTAGCAAATGCAGGATAAAGGAAACTTTATTTGGGAGACAGAAAACCGGAAACTGAGTATAATTCCAGGGAAGCAATGACTGATAATTTTCGCTGAAGGAGAAGTATGTAGAGGTAAGCATAGTACTAAGTATATTGCCAGACACATCAACCGAATAAACTCTGTAACGATTGGGTGTTTGGCAAATCTAATATTTATTGCCTTTTAGTAGAAGTCGGTAAAGACCGAAATATATTTTTAAGTCATCGAGGTCCTAAGACCGTGATGACTTTAAATGTATGTGTAGAGATTAACGTCCCAGGACCGAGACGTGTTAAATAGATGTGTCTAATATAAATCCATTTTTGACGTTTTCCCTCAGATATGTAAACTGAAGGTTCACTGCAAGACTAGTTGCAGAGCTAAGAATGTTTACAGCGAGACTAATTCCAGAGCTAAGACTGTTTACAGCGAGACTAGTTCCAGAGCTAAGACTGTTTACAGCGAGACTAGTTCCAGAGCTAAGAATGTTTACAGCGAGACTAGTTCCAGAGCTAAGACTGTTTACAGCGAGACTAGTTCCAGAGCTAAGAAAACTGAATTTTGAGGAGAGAATAAGAGAAGTAATTTTGACGATATTAGAGAATAGAAAGACCGGAGAAGACTTGATAATGACACACAAAATACTTACACCGAGGACTTTAAAGGATGGAGAGCAATAGTTTTTCCGAGAGGCATAAAGCAGAGGCATAGCTGAAAGTTAAAGAAATAGAGGAGTGCAACGCATGTCAGGAAGCCATTTTTTAGCCTCAGGGTAGTTATTAAGGGGATGGACCTACATAAAGACGTGATAAAGGTAAAATTCATACATAATTTTAGGGATAAGTATGATAGGGCCTACGAGGTAAGAGGGAGTAAACCCGGTAATGGCCACTTAAGATGCAGCCGGAGATGAGTCTCGAACCTTTCAATTACAACTAAGAGAGAACAAATAATAAAAAAAATAAAACACTTACAACAAGGTAGTAAAGCACAATTAATTACAGACAATAAAAAAATCAAATAAATTTTTTGTTTACATCTTGTTAAAAATGGAAATAGCAAGTTAATTTACGGCAACAATGATTTCCTCCAAAATTACAGAGTAGTGTTGCGTGTCTACTTTAATACTAGTAAAATAAAGGGCTAAACATATACACCATTAAGTGAAAATCAGTTGGCAACTCAAAATACAGATGTATTTGAAGTAAAATATCTTTCATCTGGTGAGATGTTTTGGTGAGGATCACTCAATAACTGAGTGATCCTCACCAATCATGGGTTGGGGTCGTCCAAATATCTCTCTCTCTTTCCCATGCAGTACTGGGGGGTATAAATCCAGTTTTTAATTCGACAAAAAAATGTATTTGAGTTAAAAAGTGTTAAGATTTATGTAATAAAAACGAATGTTCATTTACAATTAAAAAAAAAAAGTTTGAATTTCTTTAACAAGGTTTGTGTTGAGCTCCGCACAGGTATGTTAGCCACAATATGGATTTAACGATGATGTTAATTTATGACAATATGCGCGTGTTGGAGCATTACATGATTACCTTGGATTTGCTATTACAACCCGAAAGTATAACAAACACACATAACACAACAATACTATTAACATCGGCATACATTTTGCACAACACCAGTATAATGAATACAATATATACAACACACACACACACACACACACACACACACACACACCTGGGAAATAACACTAATAA